TATATTAACCTTAACCCACAAAACAGGCGAATGACGTCAAAAACAATGAACCTTCTACATTTATTAAAAATTTCCCGTCAAAATTTCAGTTACATTGCGTCATGTTTCACGAACATAATTCCTTTGATACCAAATTAAAACGAAATTTAAACATGTTCAAAACTATGAAATATCATAAACTAATTCAGAAATAAATAATATATCAAAAGTTACATATATAAAGAATCATGCATAAGGATCATGACAGCAGACAAGGTAATGGATAAAAAAACATTTAAAAGGGAAGTCTTTAAGAAAACGGCTTGTTAAATAAATAAATTACAAGGGAATTGTGAGTTAAACAATTGTACTTAATGGATCGGTAAATAAGAGGAGCGGTTATGAAGACCTTGACCTGATCACCTTGGTCACGAAAGTGTTATAAGCGACACATTTTGCGACATTATTTGTTTAAAAGCTTTATATATAATGTACACAAATAACCAAAAAGTACTGAGTCATATCAACTCAAAGTATTCAACCAGATAATTTTATTTTACATTTGGCGAACCTTTTCTTTTGATGATGCATGACGAACGATAAATTCGTTGTTATCTTTGCATTTTAAATTAAATAATTAAGTTTTTGCATCTACATACCTAAATGAGAATTCGTTTAAATTTTATGATATGGAATACATAATGGTTTTAATAAAAACAAAAGAAAATATATTAAAATTATGTATGCAGGTTTTTTTTTGTGATAATAACAGTAAAATTATTAAAAAATAAACACCATGTTAAACATTTTAAATACAAAACCTTGTTACAAAATCGTTTAATAGATTCGACCTTCGTCAATCAGTGCTGCAATAGAATAAACTTTTAATTCAATGTCTCTGACAACTATAAGGCAGTCTCCTTACCATATACATACATCCCTACCAATATTATAAATGCGAAAGTTACTCTGTCTGTGTGTCTGTTACGCTTTCACGCCTAAACCACTGAACTGATTTTAAAGAAATTTGGTACAGAGATAGAATTGACCTTGAGAAAGAACATAGGATAGTTTTCATCCCAGACTTTTGAAAGATTCTCTTGAAAACGCGATATAACCGAACACCAGAGTCGAAGCTGCGGGCGGAAAGCTAGTTATTACAATAAATAAACTTTGATATATGTACGTTTTTTACAGCGCCATCTATTGGCAATAAATCAGGACCATACCTATATAAGGTCAGATATTGAGATGTTAAAGCGAGTTTGGTGCAACGTCGATGTGGAATGATATATTAATATGTTACCAACGAATGTTCAATATTGGTAAAGAAAGCATTTATGCTTTCTTATAGCCCGTATAGCTGAAACGATCTCTCATGGCAGATGACGTAAGCCATCGAAGCAGAACCGGTCCAAGCCATGCATGACCGCTAGTCATTCTAGATTCTGAATCATCAAGCGTAAGACTTGATGGTGAAGTCTTATAATTTTAACTATCATTAAGTATAATATATAAAACGAGCTATTAACTGCGATTTCGTTGACAACGATTAAGGTACAAAATACAACTTTCACGCAATGTTACCTTCAAACAATTACAAAATTTATATACATATGTATATTATTCTGATGTTTAAAGAGAAATTACTGTAAAATTTAATTTAAATCATGCGTGGTTTCAGCAAATTTAAACCAAATTTTTCGTTCATATAATATCAGTATAATCTTGAACATATTTAGCAAACATACCGTTTGTTTGAACGGAAATCGAATTCTGCTTCTATAATAGTAAGTTGTTCGTCCCGTCCGATTTATAAATAACGCATCGGAGCCCGTGTCATGTTATCATAACAAAAAAACATGAAATACGTTCCAACTTCCACGTATTGTTATATAAACAAGAATTTCATTTATTAAATAATACTCTCAACATTATCGATCAACAGAAATAGCTTCTTCAACCGCAAAATAACATTACATATATTCTATATCCCTACTATTTTTATAAATGTAAAAGTAACTCTGTCTGTCTGTTACGCTTTCAAGCCTAAACCACTGAACTGATTTTAATGAAATTTGATACAGATATAGAGTTGACCTTGAGAAAGAACATAGGATAGTTTTTATCCCAGACTTTTGAAAAGTTCTCTGTGTAACGCGATATAACCGAACTCGACACGGACGAAGCCGCGGGCGGAAAACTAGTTAAAATATAAATACAAAGATATGTTTCTTAGCATTAAAACAATGTTATTCGCTATGTTAGTATTCAGAGGACAGCGTATTTATGCATCTATATTAAATCGTCTCGGAAATAATTTATGTGCATTCTAACGAGCTATAAATCTAAACATATTAATAAAATTGAAGTATCCGTTTGTGATTATAACTGTTTTTGTTTTAAGTCATACTTTGTTTTGTTAACAACAATCTATTTAAGAATCGTTTGTTTTTCTGTCCATCACTGTCTCAAAATGATAGACAGATTCCAAATTGTTTTTCACTTTAATATAGGTAGCAGAGTGATTTATATAATGAAATAATCTTTCTTAATTTTTAATCTTAGACTCGGATGAACAAAGCCGTGGTCAAGAACTAGTGTGTATCAAATAAAGTTGGAGTCATAGTTGTATTAAACAACCATATATATTATGCACACGTTGAGGTAAATTCTATATTACGTTGCGTCCGTGTGTCTGTGTGTGTGCGTCTTGCATGTGTGAGTTATCCTTTCGGTCTTTGTGTGCCAAACCTAGGGAAACATCGGCATAAGAAGCAATTAGCTGGTATATTGGAAGGAAAGGAGATGGAATGCGTACAACCGTTAGCATCCGATCCGGCAATCAGCCCTACATGCTGACACTCCAGATAAACAACAGGTTAGACCAATTAATAAGATCATATAGCACCAGAAATTAACTAAGCAACTTTGTTTACAATAAAAATCAATCAGCGAATAGGAATTTGAGCTTAATAATTATATAACAATAAAAACTACATTATCTTGCATATGATCCCTACTAATATTATAATTCCAAAGTAATTCTGTCTGTCTGTTTGTTACGGTTTCACGCCTAAACCACTGAAGTCATTATAATGAAATTTGGCACAGAGATAGAGTTGATCTTGAGAAAGAACATAGGATAGTTTTTATCCCACACTTTTGAAAGGTTCTCTTGGAAACGCGATATAACCCAACTCCAAGCGGAAAGCTAGTTGCATATAAAATTATAGTATTATACTTAGGTATTTGGACAATAAAATACATATGTAACAATATGAATTTTGTATGCTAAATGTATCTGAAACACAGCGTTGTTTGTTTCCCGTCTTAAATAGCACTCAAGTTATCTCAACATCGAAATGCCTGACAAGTGTGGCTTAAATACGGGTGTTATCTGAAAGTGCTCTGACAGGGCTTTTAATGTTAGTGCTTTATTAAAATATATATATCGATGTATTTATCGACATTCCTGACACTAAAGCTTTTCAGTGCTATTAAAATTATATTACACTGACATACTCCTAAGTGTTTGAGCGTACATTACATGGTTATATATATGTAATTATATATTTTTTACTTTATGATGTCTTTTAATATATATTTCAATATGTTTGGCTGTACATGTTAAATACAAATAATAATTACTTTCTTGTAAAGTTATTACTAGTTTTTTCATGCAACTCCGTCTGTCTTAATAATAGTATAATGAAAATTATTGCCATGTCTCTTAGACGTAAAAACCAAAATTTTACTACCCAAAAAGGCGATGAAAGATAAAGTTACTTTTAGACATATTATATACATATATTAACAAATGCATAAGTTACATGCTTAATTTGAGTAACAATGAAATGGTGATAACATCTTATCTATAACGGTTGGTAGGGGGGAAGGGGGGCAGAAACATTACAAGTAGGTATTGTTACATGCGCTTGAGCAGTACGCTTAATACAAGTTTTGCAACGTCACACTGAATACGAAAGATTTACCGTTTTATAGCAATAATTATTATCACATATTAATATTAACTTGAATGTTTCAGTTACGTAAACTTTCCGTATGTAGTTTAGCGCAAGACTGATGGTAAGTATAAAAGAATCCTGATTATAATACTCGCAAATAGTAACGTCTAAATAAAATAACTAGACGAAGATAATTTTTATCTAATCTAAAGGTGAACAGAATAACAAATGATTTCTATTATATAAAAGATAAAATTCTTTATTTATTATTTAATGACACTAAAATCTCTGTAATGACTTTCTAAAAGTTACTTTCAACAAACTCAGACATGATACCGTCTTTTATAACTAAGTAATTTTAAACGCGTTGTTTAATTCTATACCTTTTAAGTCATAAAGAATATCCATTTAAACAGTACAAGTATTATACTATTAAGGAATGATCGGGCAGCTCAGGCGAGATTTAAAACCATAGTTGCATAGATCACTCAATTTCCTTTCTCCTTAACTATGTTCAAGTTTTTAACTCTTCATTGACTCATATAAATGTTATTTATTTATATATAATATATTATGTATACATTATTCAAGTATATACTGGTTAGATACAGCTAAACATATGTTCTTGTAACATATGACGAAGGAAATTTAAATTTTAAATACGATTATGAAAAAAAATTTAATTATTCATTGGAATGAAGTGGGCGAATAAAGACCGCCATTTTGAAAGTATAGCAACTATTTGCGTAGGAAACGATATTATTTATGGTGTTGTTGGTATAAGCATATTATACACCAAAGACCAGACGTGTTCCTGTTCAGTAATAACAGATAAAAATATCTTTTGCCCGCTAATATTCTGGCTAAATGAAACCTTTTTGGTCAACGTGCAAAAAAAAAGTGAATCAACGGTAGATATTTTAATCGCATCTTATTTCATCTTGATTATATTAGCGGTCGGTAGCTCACCCGGGCCTTACTAAAAACTGGACTGGCATTACGTCCGCGAAGGACGCGTGCCTGCGTACGCGCATAACCCATCCCGCTCTAACATCACACCTCTCGCTCACACAAATTATCAACATTCTCCCCTCCCAGCAAATCAAGTACTGCTTTTATTACTATCAAACCAGTTGGTATCCTAAACGCTATGCAGTAATGAATGCCGATAAATGCAAATTAAAAAATTCTTTACTTCAGCTTACAAACTGCAACATTTTTATTGTCAAAATACTGATTAAATGTCTAACAATAATTTAGGACAAAACGACATTGACATATTAAATCTAATCTTATAAACGAGTATTTAAAAAAATATTATCAGATTAAAAAATATAAGGCTATATACATAACTCTATCTATTTGTTAATGCAAATATATTTATAGTTCACATTAAAACAAGTAAAATATAATAAGGAAAATATTTTTTATCTAATTTATTCATAAACATGTTTAAATATTATTATGTACGTGATAATTACATGACATAATGAGGCAGTGTTAAGGAAATTGTAAACTTCTTGTATTGCCTAATTAATTTCATTTGTCCTGTTAGTTACTATATTATTAGAGATAAAAAGTTACTTTGTGGTCAACTTTATTATGGACACATACGCATCAAAATATATTGAAAAATAATTAATAAGAGCAAGATAGCGTTTAAACGACTGCTTAGTGACACAAGTCAACAAAGCTACTTGTGTATTTGTAAATGTTAACACTGTTTACTCTATCTCAAGATATGAATAGAGATTTTGTTATTCATATTAGCCGTTTATTATATGCATTTCTGTGTTTAAATGTTAAACAAAGTGCATTCGATTGAATTTAACTATTTTTAAATATGAGTGATTGACTACAAAGTTAATTTGCTACGGATGGAAATAGAATAAGGAACGATCCATCATGTATTATTGCACTTGTCAGTATGAATTCATCGCCCAATGATAACTTACCAAAGCTTTCGGTCAGTTTTAGCATAACCCCGCCGATATGCATATCTCCTTTTACAACCATCGTGCGTTTCTCGTTCAAGTCCGTCACGTAAATCGTGAGGTTCCATGATCCGTCACCAACTATTTCACCGTCCGCAAGCATTTTGAATGAATTTAAGGTCACTTCAAACTAATATTGTCACTTCCGAAGGAACATTGCGGTTAAAAAGTACAGTTGTATAAGACACGAGCAATCTATCCACTGACTGACATGCGACTGCTAACTTGTAACTGGACGTAGGTCGTAGACTCAAGTCTGTAGTCTGTAGACCATGGACTACAAAAATGAGAATTGAGGTGGACAGCAGCAGTAAATTCAAACTCAAGAAAAACCCAATTAAAAGTTTTAATTTTTATTCTCAAAAATTATAAATTTATTGTAATATATAATATGAAAACCAAAGCAAAACAATTTGGATAATTTGTCTCTGGTTGTTACTAAACTATGAATAATATAATCTACAGTAATGTCAGAATCATCTGTAAATGTCCTAACTGAACTGATTGTAAATAACATCTGTCAAGTGTCAAGAAATTCAGATGTCATAATACCCCGACGTGCAGTGTAGTTCAACTTCAAAGTTTCTCATATAAACTTATTAATTTGAAATGATTGTTTGTTATGGTGTTCATTGTTAATAAAAACTTAAAAATATTAGTTCGCATGTACTAATAAAAAATTAAGAGAAATGCATATGAATAACAAAAAGTTATCATCCCTGGATATGAGGACAAATACGAAAACTAAAGGTTTTAATACAATTAATCCAAACCTATTCATCGTAATTTTTATGTTACGATAATTTTTTTTGTTTTATCTCAATGTTGGTTTATCTTTTGTAAATTTCATCATATTTTTCAGTATGTTCTACACCAGAACGTCGTGTGGATTCTCCGACTATAGATACCGATTCTATTTGTGATTCAGAGACGGCTAGTCCTATCCCGTTTTTGTGTACACAAGATGATGCGGATGTTGTGTATAATTTCTACACGCCAAAATCACAATCCGAGAAAGCGCAGTTCAAAGGTACAACTCCGGTTAGTAAAAAGGTTAGGAAACCTGTGAGATTACAAGTAGAAAAACGTTTACCAAAACGTAAGATTATCAAACCATCAAATCAGAGAAATAAATGGCTACAAGATTTGCGTGAATTAAATCAAAATGTTCACGAACTTGTTAATAAATCATCGAAAGATTCGGTGGAGAAGCCACAATCTGAAGAAGATATTTTTAGTGACACAAGCGACAGTTCTCCCAGAACAGGTATAGGCTCTAAGAAAAGATGTCTAAGAAAAAATGTTTTAAGCTTTAAACTCACAAAAGCTGAACCCGAAAGTGGTCTGGATTCCGATGATTCAGTGAACGACTATTTAATACAAGTAAGCCAAGCCGTTGAAGAGAAATTTAACGGCGAACCAAAAGTAATAACAGAAGAAAGTTATGACACTTTTGGTGATATCAGCTTCAATCAAACCGACAATGACTTTAACACAGATTCAGTGCATGTTTTACAAAGGAATAATAATTTAGAATCTTCAAACATAGAGAAAACAAAAAAAAGAGAATCGACCATATATAATAATGAATCATTTGATAGCTTATTAGGAAACTTAAACGACAGTGTCTTTGACAACCTCACTCAAATTCCTATAAATGGAGTAACAAAAACTAAAGGACCCGTTTTAGAAATGAAAAACGATACTTCTCTTAATAAAAGTTTTGTCCGACACAACTCTATGCCCGTGTCTCCCAGTGTCGCCAACAATAGACCATCTACCAGTGGAATGTCATTAGGAAGATTTAAATCTATGCCATTTAATCAGAGCAGTGAAAATATGTTAGGTAAATTATTCAACAAAAATTATTATTAAGTACTTTATCATCATATTAAATGTTTAAAAACAGACGAAATAAAACCCACCAAAGTTATTAAAAGTGAATGTCTATATTGTTACTTAAAAGCTACTAAACACTTTGTATAGTAGTTTCAAACTTAAGGTATAAGAATTATCATAATATTGTTTGATCAAATAGTAGAGGAACTGAGTATTAAGGAAATTTTGTGTTTATATAGGTTATATCTCATATATTTCATTCAAGGTTGTTGTTTTCATTTACTGGTATATATGTTAATAGTATTTTTTTCATTTCCTTTCAGATGGCTGTTCAATAAAGTATACTCAAGATGAAATAAAAAAGAAGCATCAACAAGCAAGAGAAAAACTGCTCGCAAAAGGAATGTTGCCATTACTATCTCAAAAACAAACTTCACAAATGTTGCCAGCCCAAAAAGATCAAGCTAAAAACAATATTCATAATAAATCCGACAACAAACAAACTAAAGTCACAGATAAAAACAAGAATGTTATGAACAACAACTCTAGTTCAGAATCAAATTTAAAACCGGACATAAAAACTCTTATTGAAAAAAAAAGACAGGAAGCTTTAATGAAATTAAGGAAAAGACAGGCCCAATGTAGATGATACATAATGTTTTTGTGTTATAAAAATTACGACAGAACTGTTTTATAATTGTGTACATTGAATGAGATATATTTATCCAGATATTTTGTATTTTAAACGATAAATGATTTATATAATTACTTCCTATTGTCATGTAATAAAACAATGTTTAATTATCATATTGTATTTTGTTACATTGGGTGTATAATAATGATATTTTTTTAATAAGATAATCTTTTTTTCCTTGTTTAAAAAGGCCTTAAAATTCTGATAATTATATTTCAACTTTTGGTAATTAAAGCACTGTGGTAGAATATATTGTTGTGTTGTTAATGCTAAAATGTTATTAATTTTAAATATCAATAACATTAAAATATGAGCCTTTTTCTGTTTTAAATAATTTGTTTGTCAAGGACAATGTTTTTTATTTACATTACTTTTAACTGCATGTGATTGTGATTTCTTTCAGTCAGATGTTGCTTAGTTTTAGTCTGAAGATACTCATCGTACGTAAACATTCTTAGCGCATAAAAGATTGATCGAAAGCAGTGTAGTAAATCGTAATGCTATATTGGATACTTGTCATATAAAAACTAAAGACGTAGTCACGTCTAATGTAGAATAATCATATGTAAATCTACTACATTTCCCAATATTTTCAATCCATTATCAATATAGGAGAAAATAATTATTTAATTCTTTTGAAAGGAGTTTAGCAGCGAAATATATATAGGATTTAAACTACAATTATTTTTTATTTTATTCATAACTAGTTTTTGCCCGCGACTTCGTCCGCGTTAGTTTCGTCATTAGTAATATATGTATAGTTGACCGGGCGAACTCTATTCCGTCTTAGAGGCCATAAATAATCAGGTTTTTCCTGTTTCAATCGAACAGAATGATTGACATATTAGTTAGTTGTCAAATCTAATGTCAAAAAAAAAATTGTATGGAAATAGAAAAGGGCTGTTTTTAGGGTTTTCTCGGCAATTATTCCAATTTTTCTCACCTTTTAAACCTTCTCTGGACTTCCAGGAGTATTTCAAGACTAAAATTAGTTAAATCGGTTCAGCCGTTCTCGAGTTTTAGCGAGACTAAGGAACAGCAATCCATTTTTATATATATAGAAGAAGAAGATAATGTCAAAATCATATAAAATATTTATTGTGAATATAAACAACCTATAGTAAAAAGTATGTACCTATAACGGAATGTAATACTAAGAGAAGGGTTTTACATATGAAAATTATGATTTATTTTCCGTATGTTACCACCACGTCTAATACATATTTCTACTGGACAGGCTGTTCCAAACGTTGGACAGTAATTTCTTTGTTCTTTTGGAGCGATATTAGCGAGTGTCCAGCGAACTAATTTTGACGTACCCACAATATAAACGGCTGCGAGAAAGTGTTTGTTTACCGTTTAACATTTTTTCATTTCAAATTAATTTAGTTCGATTTCAACGTTTTTCTTGTTATAAGTATCTAATAAAGTTATCAAGAATGAAGTCATGTAGATATTGTAAGCGGCGCTTCAAAAAAAACAGTGAAATATCATTCCACAGGTACGTTAGTATTTTTTATTTAGCAATGAATAGTTCAATGATATTTAGTTATATTTTCACTTATAAGATACGTAAAAATATTGTCTTACTTATTTTTATAATATCTTACTTTTAATAAGCCTTAATGAAATTCGTATGAATACAGAACTTTCATTTTCAACTAGCATCATGTCGATAATTAATTCAAAACAATTTTTCCGCGAAATTGACATGGATGAGCTTGATATTAACGGATTTCAGTTCCATCTTCATTGGAGACTCAAAACCAGAGCTAACAGATTACATTACTGAACAATATGTATTCTTTTCAGATTTCCAAAAGACTTGGAAGAGAGAAAAGTATGGCTTCAGAATATGAGAATTACAAACTGGACTCCTAAAGCACATGATTCTCTGTGTTCTCTACATTTCGTTGATGAATGTTTCAAGAGATATCACAAAAGAGTATTATTGAAACCAGGTAGCATTCCTACAATATTTGAAGGTTTGTTGTTTTCAAGTAAAATAATTACCCCTTGTTTATTTTTTTGAGTAGTAGTAGAGTAGGGTAGTGTTCTAGCAGTGGGGACATAAAAAGATGATTATTTTACTAGCAGTAAACACATTTAAATGTCTACTTTTCAGGAATATCTATCTTTCCATTAACACCTCGTCTGGCAATCTCTATGTCATTACCTCGTCTAGCAACAACCAATTCAGCTAATATAAGTACTGTTTCAGCCATAGGAAAAATAAGTTGTGATGCTAATATAACGGAATTATCAAATAAGACAAAGAAGGGTCCAGAAGAGGTAACTAATCATGATTATGAAGTATCATCAACTTCTAAAAAGTCAAGAACTGAATTTGGACGGTTACCTGACCATCATTATAATATTACACCAAAAAAATCGTCGTCCAAAAAATTACAGCAAGAATTGATGAAATTAAGGAAAATTCAGGCCAAATGTTGGTGATACATAATGTTTCTGTGTTATAAAAATATGACAGAACTGTTTTGTAATTGTGTACATTGAGTGAGATATATTTTGTATTTTCAATGATAAATGATTTGTATACTTCCTATTGTCATGATTCCTATGTCATGTAATAAAAACTATGTTTAATTATCAAATTGTATTTTTTTACATGGGGTGTATAGCAATGATATTTTTTTGTAAGATGGTCTTTTTTTCCTCATTTAAAAAGGCTTAAATATTCCTTTTATTATTTTTCAACTTTTGGAAACTGAAGTGCTGTGGTTGATAAAGGTTGAATATATTTTACATTGCTGTGTTGTATATGTAATATGTTTAAATAATATTAATTTCAAATATCAATAACATTGAAATATGAGTCTTGTTTATGACAATAACTCAAATACATTATTTTTATGCTTTAAAATCAGTAACCTATTGATACTCAATCTAAGTTTCACGAAGAATTGACTGTTTTAATATTAGTTATATTTTAAATGATCACCGAGCTTTAAATATTTATGTTTAATAGTCATTTAAAATAGTTCCTCTGAAATTCTAAACTCCTTATACAGGGTGACTGGTGAATTACTATCGATAATTGAGGACGTGATATTTGACGATCATATATGACAAAATAAAAATTAATATAACATAAATATTAATAAACTTCTAAGTAAAGTTAACCAAAAGTTATGTAATTAATTACGCATCGTGTAAACACCCTACAGATTAGGAATACACACACACGCGCGTGCGGCGGCGTGGTGTTGTATCAGCACGCCGCCGCACGCGTTCACACTTGGAACACTTGGAACGTGTCCACACTTTATTTATTTACACGGAAATTTGGTCAAAAATTAAGTACCTATTTTTTTACATAATTCGAATGAGAATCATGTACCGAGTATTCTCCTTAAATATTGATAGTAATTCACCAGTCACCCTGTATAATATTTATTCAAACATTCGATTTCTAACAGAAAAGGTGATGGTTTAATCACCGTTCTTTTTTTTGTTCTTCGAACGTATTTCCAAGGCGTCCTTAAGAGGTTCGTTTCAAATTTGGTTAGGTACAGAGAAGAGTTTGGACGGTTTAGGTAAGCGTATAACAGGCGTTAGCTAGGGGCCCCTTAAAACTACCCCTGGGTCGCATGTCCCAGGCATTGTTGAAGCTCCTCTCCCTGCAAAGTGGCATCCACATGGTAAATCCAAGTTTCGTATCTTCGTCTCATATCTCAAACCCAAAAGGTCTAATCAACATTAATTATCAGTTTTTGTTGAATTTTAAATCAAAATAATTATTGAAAACAGACTATTAAAAATGTAATAGTATGTCAAAACTTACAGCCGAACTCTAACGGAACGAAAATTCAAGTTTAATAGTAAATTTTTTAACATTGTAAGACGTAAGTAATTAAGTATTAAGTTATAAAAAGCAACTACATATTTGTAATTTTGTGTTCACAAAGATACCATCTATTCTTGATTTTCTCAAACATCAATATTATTTGTGCGTTCTTACTCTGATAGATGGCACAATTTATAAAGAGAACCTGAACATGTATAAAAGTTGAGTCAACCCAAATTTATTTTACAACTTCAGACAATGACTAAATCACTTAAGGATTGTGTAAACTATAACTACCAATTACGATAAAATTTTTGAGATTTAGTTTTTTTTTATTTAACAAAAATTGTTTTTATAATTCCTTTTGCTTATTTTACATAAATTTCAATAATGTTTTGGTTCAGGTTTAACCTGAAGCTACAACTAAGGCTATTTTTTTTATTTTGTTATAATAATTTAGTAGAAAAATAATTTTAAACAACAAAAATTGATTTTATTATTTTTCTCATTAAGTTTGGTTAAAATTTCAATACATACTTTATAATTTTAAATTCCAGTCATATCTTTTTTAAAGAAGTTAAGCCTCTATAAGTCACTTGAACGATGGTGGTTACACAATAGTATTGAGCATATGTTAAAAGGAAGTGATTTTTCATGTCATACCTAGAGTACTTTTTTTCTATGTTATGGCTTAATTCATACGACGTGTAGTACCTGCCTACTATTTAACTTGAACTTGTCACTGTCACTCGTCAATGTCAAATTTGTAATCATAAAATTACAAGCGAGATTTTCTTAAAATAAATTCAACTTGTATCCAACAAGTTATGATATTGAAGAAAACTAAAAATTGCTTTTATATGATTACCTGTTAAAACTTCTATCGAGTCCAAGAGCTGATAATCTGACGAAATAGGCACTTTAATCATGGCTCTCAATTATATTCGCCAAGTCACAAGAACCGTTAGAGGGATTAATGTAAATACAATACATAGAAAAATAAGTACGAGTTTACCAACAAGACTTGGTATGATACCGATAGTAGTTGAACAAACTGGCAGAGGGGAAAGGGCATACGACATTTATTCCAGGTTACTTCGAGAACGTATTATTTGCCTGATGGGACCAATAAACGATGAAATCAGTTCCCTCGTCGTTGCTCAGCTGTTGTTCCTTCAATCTGAATCGAGTAAAAAGCCTGTGCATCTATATATAAATTCTCCTGGTGGCAATGTTACGGCCGGTCTCGGTATTTACGATACGATGCAATATATCACTCCGCCAGTAGCCACTTGGTGTGTTGGTCAAGCCTGCAGTATGGCGTCACTCCTGCTAGCAGCGGGGGCTCCTGGTATGCGTCACGCACTTCCAAATTCGCGGATCATGATACATCAACCTTCTGGAGGAGTCCGAGGTCAAGCGACAGATATTCAAATTCAGGCCGAGGAAATTTTAAAATTGAAGTCTCAAATAAACAATCTCTATGTCCGACACACCGGTCTTCCAATAGAACGTATTCAAACATCAATGGAACGTGACTGTTTCATGTCGCCGATAGAAGCAAAGAGTTTTGGATTGATCGATAATGTTTTAGAACATCCACCATCTCATGTGGTTGAAGGTGATAATGTTTCATCAGCTCCAGTTAATACAACAACTACTTAGTGATTATTTAAATATGCTGATAATTGTTATGACTTAATAAATATACACAAGTTACTAAATGTTATTATTTACTGATGCAGTCTATAAACTAAATAAATTGTATTTTTACCAATATTCTATATGAATTACAATAATTATGATTTAATGGTACAATGTTTTGCAACTGTGAGTTTTTTTATCCAATCATAATAGTAGGTGACATTTGTATAAACAGGTAAAGCAGGAAGAGAATTGAGTTTGTATGATAGTATTCCTATTATCTGATATTTTTTTGTTATCAAACCGCTGCCAGAATCACCTCTGAAAAATAAACATTAGTTTAGAATAAATTTTTACCAAATTTTGTGACCCATTCAAGAAGTATGGTAATTAAGAGAGTATATATAATGAAAGCAGCTTCTCAATATTATAAATTTTTGTTTAGGACAGCTATTTAACATAATATAAACATATATACATATGTATATTTTTTAAATTCTTATTTTCATAAGTAAAAATGATGAAATTTATAAGTATATATTGTTACAAACTTAGCTTAAGCAAAGCACCATATATTTAATTATTGTCTAATAATATATTGTATGTTAAAAGAATTCAACTAAGATATCTCTATAAATTTAAAGTGTTTAACTGGTACAGTTAAAGGTTTTGTAATGAACTTACCTGGCTGGTCTTGATTCTGTTGGAATCTTACTCCCAGCACACAGCATCCCCGGCCTTAATTTAAGATAACGACAATCTTTTCTTGGTAGTACTTTTTGTTTGACCATTTTCAAAAATTGTGATGAAGGGCCTTCACCATCCTATGAAGTGTAAATAGTTTTTAATAAAGGTTTTCTAAGTCGGAAAAAAAGATAACCTCTATAATCCCTACTAATATTATAAATGCCAAAGTAACGTCTGTCTGTCTGTTACGCTTTCACGCCTAAACCAATGAACTGATTTTAATGAAATTTGGTACAGAGATAGAGTTGACCTTGAGAAAGAACAGGATAGTTTTTATCCCAAACTTTTGAAAAGTTCTCTTGGAAACGCGATATAATCGAACTCCACGCGGGCGAAGCTGCGGGCGGAAAGCTAGTCATTCATAAATCTGAATCATGTTTCCCCTCCATCAACAACATATCTCAGGAACTAATTGAGGTATTAAGTTAATTTCAATTTACAACAATACTTGGATAAAGAAACTTTCTGAATCAACGCTATCTTAGGATTCAGTCGTTTACGCTTCACATATTTTTAATTATGTGATGATTGGGGTACGATCCAAACGTACACGGAGAAAGAAAAAATATTATAAAGTTAGTACGAATTGATACGAGATCCTTGGATTTTATTAAAAGTAAAATTTTAATGTCTTATAAGATATTCGAGACCTATTTTTGTTAAATATTTCAATTAGTAGGTAATAAAAGGTTTCAGCAAATCTCAAAATCGTAAATACATTTTTAACTATAGGTTATTAATTATTATACTATAACTTCTTTTTGTATTATTTATATGAATTATTTAAAACAATAATTTTAATTTCAACACGAAACATTCTTACGCTTGAAACAGAAAAACTATTTTTTTTCCAAGCTGAATGTTGGTTATTCATTTATAACAAAAATGCGCTTAAAGCACTAATTTTTTGTTTCACTTTTCTAAGCTGGAGTTTTATACATACTTTATGAACTCGTTAGAAGAAAAACGACTAAGTGCTTTCGTTGACTGATGTATATTTAGATACAGAAATGAGAAAATTTATGAAACTGACTGAGTAATAAGCTTATTCAAATTTGTATATTATATAGTATTTTCTTTCCCTAATCTTTTATCATATTAGAAACTCTTTATTCCTTTTAATAATACCTTACTTTTTCATTTTAATTCTAAATATATCTATTATTTCAATACTGAGTACTCTACTACATGTAAAAAAATATATTGCTGGGCTTAACCACGTCATTTATTATTCTTAATTTTTAATATACAGTGAGTATGCCAAATCAGAATATTTCAAAGTCAATTTAATTTCGTTCTTCTATCATACATGCATTAAAAACGTAGCTTTTATTGTCTTATAATTTATAATAACCTGTTTACGCTATATTTTATTTTATAAAGTTTACGTCGTTTATGAATGATGATAACACTCACATACGCACAACACATACACACATACATATACACAAACTCACGCTCAGATAAACATAATATAAACTTCTTAATATATACATATTAAAAGTAGGATTATGTTTTAACAAAAAAAAATGAGTACTTACATTAATATAACCCCAGCCGGCAAGTGTGCCCGAAGGGGATCTTGGATATGTTTTCTTTAAAACAACACGTTTGATATTTGCACCTAAAGGCAGTGAGCCGTTTAGACTAACTAACGCTATGTCGTTTTCTACAGTTTTCAGTTGAAAGTGCTCGTGTATTGTAACCCTTGATGCCAATCTTGATACTGTCGACTAAAACAACAAAATAATTTGTAATAAAAATATGTACTCATACTACGTACTTATTACGTTTAAAGGAGATACATTTTGTTAAAGAAATAAGTATTTGTACAATCGAGTTTTACTGTTTACAAATATAACATTATTTTTATTTAAAGTACCTGTAATTGTTCTTTTTATTATTTAATTTTAATGTAAGAAATACTAATCATGTAGTTTTATTTATACACTATACAAACATATTGTTATATCTTTTTCTTTTACTATTATTAATATTTATCAATGGAAAACATTTTCAATGTGAAGTTAAATAGCATCTTTAAACTTATTATAAGTTATATATTGTTATCCTCTTTACCACGTGGATAGCATAAAATATTTCCTAAAATCTTCGTTTTACATTACTTGACAACGTTCAAATTTGCAAATTCCATATTTAATATATGGTATCATAATAGATATTATTCCTCTTTACTTTAGTCTTTACAGGGTCAAAGGCTCACCTTCAATTCCTTTGTACTTTACATATTTATCGGAAAGACAAAATATGTTTTAAGTAAAGAATAGTTGTATCTCGCCTGTTGCTTTATAAATTCATATATTTATATACCTTGTTTGTATGCATTGGTTGTGGGTCTTAACTCCTACACGATCTTATGATGAGGGTTGAGGTATAAAGTTAACGTTATACTGATTCATGTTTTGTATGAATGTTAAGAGCAGGATCATAGTTTGAGTTATTAAAGTCCTGATATAACGTTCATACCTTTCTAACATCTTCGTGACCGGCTATTGCTATCACTTGAGCAACGTCCAGTTCGTAAAAACAATGCGCAGCGGACAGCAAGAAGTGTTGGTTGAGAACTGATGATCCGCATATGTGCGCCGAATTATCTCTCCTTATTATATGTAGAAATACAGCGTGAGCGTTATCACGTATTACAGTAAATTCACCATTCACGACCCTCCCTTCCACGATCTCATGATTTGAACATTTTTTGAACAAAAAATGTAACATAAAAATAACCTTCAAGTTGAACATCGCATACGCTTATCAGGTATATAAGAATGATAAACTCCATCAATACTTTTTATTGTTTTAATTCACCACTTCTGCATTACTCGTAAAAGATTACGGTTTGATTGAATTGATTCACGATTAATTAATTTGATAAGTGTACATATATGAGAAACGATGGGCAAGTTTTTATGAAAGACTTCAAAACAGGTCTTGTCTTAGATAATATATGCAACATTTGTACCTTTGCTAGGGAATAACTCAGTGTGTGATACTTGTACGTTAAGGATGTACAATCATCAAGCATGCAATGTAAATAGCTTGTTATATTCAAGAATGTCCATAAGTGTAGTGTTCTTTCATAATCTGTGAAAGGCTGGAGGGTTTGGGATGTACGCGCATGCGCTGTCTACGGGTCGATATATGGTGACGTCAGTGAAAGTTTAGCTTCAGTCGGCCGCCGGTTGCCGCAGAGTTATGATGTGGTTGCAATGCTTGGCTGCGACGCTGCTGGTTGCCGCGGCCGCTGGGGAAGTCTTCACGAACTCGTTTCTCGTACGTTTCAAGAGATCCGTAGGTCACGAGGAGGCCCACGAGCTCGCTCTGCAGCACGGCTTTGACAACCTTGGCACGGTAAGTGACCACGTGATTATATGTAAACATAAGCATAGCATCATATTTATGACGCTAATATGGTTCAAGTTTTCAAATATTAAATATTATGTAGACCATTTCAGTGTTTCTGGATCAATTATATATGTAAAATATAAATGAGAGAATATTTTTCTCATATAACAAGTGGTTATAAATAAAAGAATGAAGGATCATTTTCAGCACGTCAATTACAATTAATATTGTTTTAATTTGAAACATTTTTGATTTTCACAGCATGTCTAAACATTATTTTAATTATTTTACACATTTAATATTAAAAAGAAAAGATGCAATAACTAAGTACATATGTTACGAATAGATACATATATAGAGAATTTTGCGGATATAGGTTTATTTTAGATATTTTTATGCAAAGAAAAGTTTAAGGAGGGAAAATGACTTTTGAATTAGAGATTTAAAATGGGAGAGTTGTAAATATCTTTAATATTTTAGTTGGTATTTATTACATTACCACAAAAAATATCTTTACGTAAGTACTTAATATATTCTGTATTAATTATAAAATATGTTTGGGGATTTTTATGAAATTTTTTGTCTTTGACGTCTAAACTAGGTGTCCGTTTTTTGTTTTTTTTTTTTTTAACTACAACGTATTTATGTTTATATGTAAAGAATTATTTAAATTAAGGGACACTTAAACATTTATTTCTCTCCTTTTACAATTCGTATAATACCTTCATTTCCAAAATTCATTTTGTTTAAGGTTATCTCTGTAACATTATTACCGTAATTTCAAGTCCTGTCAAAATTTGTCCCGTCCATCGTAAAATAGACACGAAACCACAAAATTGACGAACAAACATTTTGATTACATTTGGTTACTACAAACCACACGAAATACAACAGTCATAGTCTTTCAATATTATTTGTCATTTAACAATTATTATGCTGGTAATCGTGAGACACATTGAGTAATCTCATTCCAAAAGAGCTGATACTTTCACAACATAACAACAAACCAAACATAATGAACTACTGCAATTAAACTGACATACAAATGAAAAAAACCGAATCGAAATCGGTCCATCCGTTCAAGAGCTACGAAGGCACAGACGGATACACAGTCAGAGATCGTATCCGATTCTATAACACTCCTCGTATTTACAGACTGAATGCTAAATATCAGATACAAGCCTCTCAAAGCAGACGGCTTAACCGCGCTTAACGTTGCTTTTAATGACTGATATTCTAGATAAGTTAAATACCCCTGACATTGATTAAAACACATTGAAAAATACATGCGGGTTGGTTCGATGTACTCTATACGAAATATATTTCGTCATCAGAGCCAAATATACATATGTATAAGCCACACTTCCTAAATTACATTACTCGAAGAACTTAATTAAATAAATTTTGACCAAATACGAAGAATCATTTTTCTAGACAAAAAATTAGGTTAAATATAAATACTTTATTTGTATAACATTAAATTCAACTTGGCCAATGATACTGCTTATTTTGATTAAAATAATCTTAATGATAATAATGTTTTTTAGTTTAAAAAAACAGCCAGAAAAAGTTAAATCAAATATCGTGATATTTAAGTAATAATATATATATAAAATATACACTTAGTTGTAGACTCGGATTGGTTGATATTCATTCAAATATGTATTCACGGGAAAAGCTTTATGGAAAAGTGATTATTGAAACTAGCAGACTTTTTGTAATCCTGTGTTGCTCTCACTGACCTAAATAAACGCCAATGACATGGCCGAGGGAGATGTAATTTTAGACGATGACGTTTTAGATGATATTCTAACTCTCATATCTGAAAGCCTATATATATTTATCAATATTATATCAAAAATAAAATTTTCAAAATTAAATCTTGTAAACTATAGTATTATCTTTTTAAAAGAATACTTTGTAGTAACGTAATACAAGATTTTTATATCTTTTAAGTATTAATATACGAATATTATTGTCATACTTTTATAGCTTTTCATTTAACACCTAGAATTAAAGCTACAGGTGTCAGCGAGTGAAACAATCTATTTATTATGAGAGGTATTGTCAGATCGTTTGTTGTCTTATAAAATAAACAAGTTTGGATGAAAGAATGATAAATAAAGATGTCTTTGTATAATCGTCTTTGAAGTTACATGTTAAATGAATTAAAAATAAGAATTATCGTGTAACCTACTTAAAATAGCTGTAGGTTTCCGTGGTAGGATAAATTAAAGTAGATAGTATTAGTAGTCCTTGTAAATGACATTAATATAATGTTAGTAAAGAATGCTTGTATCTGTCAGTGTGTACATCATTACAATATGATTAGAGTACCTACTTACGTGTTGCATATATTAAGAGTCATAAATTTTATTTGTATTCTATACTTCTATAAAAAATGCAGTTCTTTAATAACAGTTTAATGTCTAAAATCACGACCACATTACATTACAGTCAAAGAAATAGATTTGATAATAAAATTATAATTGTACATCAATTAAACGAATATGTAGCAATATTAAAATTGTCAAGAGTCACTGAGCATTTTTGTGTTCTAATTAAAAGAAACTTTTTGTTTCCTTTCTTTTATGTATATACCCAAAATTTGTATTTAAATGTACCTTATGTACACGTAATTCGTATATACAAGACCACTAGCTTAGGTTTATGTACCTACTTATAATATTTTATTTTCCCAATACATTCTACATATAAGGTAAACGTGGTATCCTATATGTTGGAAAGGTAAATAATCATTTTGTTTGAAAGCCACCGGTCGTTAAGAATGTAACATTACCTTTTTACAAGTATCTTTAATTTAAGACTCACAAAGAGTATATTTTCTTTTATACTCTTATCATAAATGGATTCATATGTAAATATATTTATATAATTGTGTATATATGTTAAATATTTATGTACTTGTATGTGTATTTGTTTGTGAATATTTATGTATATTATGTATATGTATATTATGTATATTTATGTATTCTTTACTATGTATATATTTTAAATTTTTCTTTACTTCTGTGCACGTCCTACTCACTACTCTCCTACACCATTCTGGGTTGGCTGGTAGATAATGCTGACATAGCGTTAAGTCCGCCCTTTGTACATAATTTTTTTCTTGTGTGCAATAAAGAATAATAAAAAAAAAAAAAAAAGAGGATTACATATAAATTTCGTATAAGACTTAGTACTGTTACAATTAATTATTAGGTTTTTACTTATTTTTATATCCATAATTTATATAAAATAAAAGATTTAAGAATGAATATGTATTGTACAGATTTTAATGATATTTCATTGTTCGGTGACATATTTGGGGGTTTCATTACAAAAATCGTAGCCCTCTACATAAATTGCTAAAAATTTCGTACCTGGATTAAATAGTACAAGCAAATTATAAATAAGTATATATTTTATACTCTAATTCAGAAACTAATTAAAATATTAGATTGGAAGCGTATTAGGGTTTTGAAAAAACATTATCTACTTAAAAATTAATTAATATTATAAACAAATTCTGCCCTTCTTGAGAACACTAAATTTGCAATGTAATTTCGGCAGCGCTATTGACGAATTAGTCATGAGACTAAAAAACCACTGCTTCAAGCTGAAGTTGGGATCAGAAGTCTAATTATATTATGACTAATAATTTTATTTCAACAAGCAAAGAATCTCATAGAAAAATGTATATGAATTTGGACATAATTTTAGTTTGAAAAGTTCGACGTCGTTACATCCCAAATATTGGCAAATAACACTAACAGATTGTAATATTGAGTGTATATGACAGCAATTAGGATTAATAAATAAAACTTTTCTTATAATAATCTGAAACAATTGAATAACTTCAATTACTCCTCTCATAGGATGTTTGAAAATATAATGAACAAAAGCACGCACGAAAATTGTAATAGTACCTACATACATATCTATAATTATTTTGGAAATTTATACAGTCAAATAAAATCGTGCATTTATCGTGAAACATGAACTCGGTAATCAGCACGGGAGATTATAATATTTAAAACACAAAAAACGTACGCAATCTCTTGCAAAAGAAATACTTAGAGATTATTTTTGTAAGGGTATATGTCGCTGGGCCCTGGGGTTTTGCACGGGTTTTTAGAAGTGGTTTAGTTCAATGAAAGTACTTTTTTTCTGTAAAACCTTTGTTTTATTCATGACGTTCGTTATTTTTGTATATTTTACAAATTCAAATCGAGGTAACCAATTTTGTTTTTTTTTAATTCGTAAATACTCTCCATCTAAGATTTGAACTTACAAACGGTGAAAAAACAAGTTAACTATTGTGGTAAAAATAATTTTGGTTATTTAAATTACAACCATACATATGTTCAGATTTTAAGTGGATACAAACCTTCTCTTAAAAGTAATAGGATTTAAAATAATTCAGGAGAGCTTTAATGAGTGTTCTTATCTTTACGAGATGTGCTTATCCTGAATTGCTATTAATCTGGCTTCAGATAAAGATATGGGGATCGCATCCTATTAAACTGGAAATGAATCTAATGTAGTATTATATATTTTATTTAAACAATTATCACCTAATTTAAAGCCTGTTGTTTTTATTTACAAAAGAAAACCCATGCAGAACTATGTGTAGTAGAAAACTATGAAATTGTATGGAAATGATTTGAATCTATGTAATAATGTATATATGTAGTGTATTTTAAAAATGTTAGGTAGTAGTTAAAAAATTAACTTTCTGGATTTGACGTTTTACTGAAAGAATCAAAGAAGAAAATTATCCGTAGGTAAGCATAATCAACAATTATTATTTTTTACTTTATTTTTTTGTCATTTTGTTACTACTAACTTATGATTTCGTATGCGTTATTCGATTCTTATAATGAAATTATTTAGCCCTAAAACTTTTAATTTTTTCCTTCACACACATTTTTCTTACAAAAACAGAATAAGTGGGATAATTTTTTTAAGTAATGGCGCTTGCAAGTTCCAAGAATTAGTTACTA